ATGCAGACGCTTTCAAAATGCATACATATGAACTTAAAATGTTAATTGAATCTGGAATCTGGAATATCTTGTTTGTCTATGTGTTTAAGATACTTTGTAATAAACTTACAAGGTATTATGCAAGTAAGGGTGCTCTTCATTTCGTTTCGTAAGAGTTACCGTTATCTTGCTCCCATAGCCTTTGTTTTATGTGTTTCCTTATTATATGCTATAATAATTATAGCATATTGTCACAATATGCTGTAAAATAAAGCATTTATTTTGGTGGAAAATTGTGAAAGTATTGAAGGGTAGATGGATTTCGTAAGCATGAGGTCTATAAGAAAGTATCATGTATAAATTAATATTTTAAGTAAACAAAAACGTTTTACTCTTTCTTAGTTACTGTAGCACAAAAGCGCTGAAAATCGTTTCCTTGAACGGCTTTCATCGTTATGTATTCTTGCTGATGAATGGCATTAAAAGGAGGTGAACGGCAGGTGACGTTACTAAAATTTTGATGACACTCAAACTTAAATACCCTTTAACTTTAACAGAAAAGCATTTTTGAAGGTATGGTTTGGAATACATCATGACGAAAGGTTGAAGTTTACGAATCGTATTATAAAAGGATTTATTATCTTAAGAAAATATAAGTTTTTGTGACTTAAAAATAAAAATGCCACATCTCATCTGATAGTGTGGTTATTTTCAGTCAAAATTTACGTGAAGTAAAGCTTGCACAGGGCCTGAAATTTGTAAGCATGCTCCTTTGGATGTTGACTATGAATCCATAACATTGATTTACTCGAACACAGTTGGGATATGTTAAAAATAGATGAATACTTACAGTCCGGCAATTGTGTTTCCTGCGCCGACATGTATAGACTGATACAGCTGTCGACGCTTGAACTGCTGTCTGCCCATTTGATTGTACGATGTAATTTTGATACGACCAAATACTAATACAGACCAAATTCTGGCTGTTGTCTTTCCTAGTAGTAGAATTTACTATTACATTTATTTTAGTAATCTTAATTCTAGCGTATGACTTGAAAAGAAAAAAACCTTTTAACAATTATTATAGTAAAATTAAAACCAAAGTTGTATGTAATCTTTCGTACATAACTTTTTTTTTACTTTTACCATACTGTATAGATATATTTTCCCGTTTTTACCATTTTTTTAATAATAATATTCAAATAAGTCCAAAGTATATGTTGATTATCAATTTATGTATACCTTGTTTATTTTATCTCTAAGATAGCCATTGCTTACAAAACTTAATAAAAAGTCTGTTTTTGATCAGAAAGACAGCAAGTCTCAGTAACAGCTATTGGCAGCATGTATACACAGATTTTACAGCTGTCACTGATTTAGTAAAATGCATAAAAGGGGTTCGCTGAAGACCTTTATCTACGGCAGCTTTCATATATTTAATAATAAAAGCTATGACTTAAAAATATCTCCCAATGGAGGTTAACAGAGATGCTAGGATACACTGAATATTTATTTCAACATTGAAATGGGACATTTTCACAAGTTTTTGGTTATACAATGGAATTATCGATAGTAAACTTTGAATAGTTCCGTGATTATATACACTTGGTGAAAAATTTGGGTTTTTCAGAAAGAAAGCACAGGCATAATGTTCAGCTCTCTTTATTCATATAACTGAAATTCACGTATAGTGCTGAATGTAAGAATAGTTCATCAATTCATGAAGGCACATAAACCATGTCGGCGAAAGAAGCAGTGGTTTGTGTCCTTATATAGGGGAAACATTCCCGTTTGTTAATACAACAACTTTAGTTTTTGCATATTATTATGCTAATTATCAGTATAAACATTGTTAAATTATGATATTATATCTTACCAAATTTTGCATTATTTGAATATCCTGTGCTAGAATACGATATAACAAAATCTGAGAATATTCAAAGCCAACCGTAATGCAGTTGATGTATGTGACGTTTTAATTTGAAATAGTTTTGTACTCATTATTATTGTACAGTAAGTGTTACCTCTCTTGTATGTACTCTTTCGTACATAACTTTTTTTTACTTTTACCATACTGTATAGATATATTTTCCCGTTTTTACCATTTTTTTAATAATAATATTCAAATAAGTCCAAAGTATATGTTGATTATCAATTTATGTATTCCTTGTTTATTTTATCTCTAAGATAGCCATTGCTTACAAAACTTAATAAAAAGTCTGTTTTTGATCAGAAAGACAGCAAGTCTCAGTAACAGCTATTGACAGCATGTATACACAGATTTTACAGCTGTCACTGATTTAGTAAAATGCATAAAAGGGGTTCGCTGAAGACCTTTATCTACGGCAGCTTTCATATATTTAATAATAAAAGCTATGACTTAAAAATATATCCCAATGGAGGTTAACAGAGATGATAGGATACACTGAATATTTATTTCAACATTGAATGGGACATTTTCACAAGTTTTCGGTTATACAACGGAATTATCGATAGTAAACTTTGAATAGTTCCGTGATTATATACACTTGGTGAAAAATTTGGGTTTTTCAGAAAGAAAGCACAGGCTTAATGTTCAGCTCTCTTTATTCATATAACTGAAATTCACGTATAGTGCTGAATGTAATAATAGTTCATCAATTCATGAAGGCACATAAACCATGTCGGCGAAAGAAGCAGTGGTTTGTGTCCTTATATAGGGGAAACATTCCCGTTTGTTAATACAACAACTTTAGTTTTTGCATATTATTATGCTAATTATCAGTATAAACATTGTTAAATTATGATATTATATCTTACCAAATTTTGCATTATTTGAATATCCTGTGCTAGAATACGATATAACAAAATCTGAGAATATTCAAAGCCAACCGTAATGCAGTTGATGTATGTGACGTTTTAATTTGAAATAGTTTTGTACTCATTATTATTGTACAGTAAGAGTTACCTCTCTTTATATTCTGCTCTCGTGAAAATTCCTCTATTTCCGTGATAATGCCATATATGGAAGTTGCAAAATCGTTTACAAATGTTAATCGCATTAGAATGTAAACGGAAAGTGTGGTGTTGTCAACCGGAGAGTGTTACCTGATGCAGTTACATTCTTAACATCATGATGTACGGAATAAAACGTGTTGTGTACGTTCTATCGTTTACATTTCTACATGTCACAATTTGAAGATCTACCTTTCTAAATACAGTTTGCAATTTATCTAAGTTGCATTTTAACAGTTCCATTTTATCAAATCGAGATATGCACCAGTGCAGTATGTAACTTTCGGATCCACAATTAGATTTTACTAATCTGTTTAGTAGAACCGAAGTATGCATTGTCAAGTTTAAAAGGCTGGATTTTTGGCAACGAATAGCCTCCATAGTTCTGTATCTTGACAAACTACTGTTAGTACATGTAAGTATTGTCAATAGTGTAAACATTATTAAAGCGGTGAAGGTATATTAATTTGGCTGTAATGACACCACAAACGATAGTAACAGCATCATCGCGATGTTTCACAATATAGTAAACTATTCATGATCCTTTTTCTTTTTTTGGAGAAATCGATAGGAATTAGTTCATGTATTGGGCATTTATTTTCCCTTGTTTTTTAATTTTCTCTCCTTGATTAACAATTGTTATACATGTATTATCGTTCTTAGTTTTTTAATGCAATTAAGAGTGAAATATAAAACAAAATAACAAATCTATATTATATATAGAAGGAAGAATGTCTCTATTAGCTCGCCCGCACACTCCACTCCCTCCTTTGTTTACATCCTCGCTTCCAAAAAGTGGAAAAAAAAGTTTGCAAGAACATATCGCTTTAGTATATACCTAATGAGAAGATTTATACAGTGCAATCTCTACAGAGTGGTCGTTTGTTAAGCAGCTACCTCTTTACTACAACGGTCTAAAAATCTTTTACTTCCAGGGGTTCTACTCAGGTACCCGTTCGTGCCTGAAATAATGCACGGAAGGGCACCTGAGGTCTTCCTCCACCAGTAAAACTGGAACGTAGCGATATGACCTATACTGTATCGACGTGACGTAAAACCCAAAACAAACAAACAAACTTCCAGGGGTTTGCTCTGCAGAGGCTGTAGCGTATTTTTTATACTGTCATATTTCTTCAAATTCTTTTTTCTACATAATCATGTATTTTCCTGAACTTCTTATTATTTCTTGAATAAATCAAATATGTGATCGACATAGCTGATATGTCCTGCGAATTAACATACTAGTATTGTAAATTCTTTAATTATTTTCACTTGCATTTTACAATCTAGTTAGTATGACAAGTTTATATTTGGTCCAAATTTCCAGCCTTACTAACACCGTCGACAAAGTAGATCACCCTGCTAACTAAGACCTTAACATGATAGCCCCCAAACTGTAACTCAATAAAAAGCGCGACGTATTTCCAAGTCAAAACAAATCCCGTTTTATCCGGGACTATACGAAAAGTTGTGACAATTTCAAACTGTGGTGCGGTAGACATTTTATTGTTGTTGTTGTTTTTTAAGAAAACATTTAATCTAATATTATCAAATACATTTCTTCTGTTTTGATTAAATAAACGGAGACAGAAAAGTATCAAACATAATAATTATTATACATCCTGATATTACTATCCTGATGAAGGTCATTATATGACCGAAACCGGTAGATAAATAAAATAACGTACGCCCACTCTGATGTTCCTGACGTGTTGTTTTTCATCCCTTCCTTGATTGCTTAATTATTTATTATTCATGTATACTGATAATATACTTTATAACTCTTTACTAACCGTTTGTTGTATGGTTACCACATTCATATAAGCATCATACATGTACTTTCAACTAAATATAACTGTGACATATATAAATGTTATATTAAACTACATATCTATTTCTTCAGTATCATGTACAAATTCGTATCCTAAATAGGCAACATTGAAGTTAGTCAGTACCTGAATTTTCTCTGTACTTATATTATATAGAAAGATGCGTCACTGAAAATTATTTTTCTACTCTCTTTTCAGAACTTCAAGGCGACCTGATAAAATTTTATAGACAAAGATGCAGTTCAATACCTCTGTCGCCGCTTCTTGAAGAAGTAGAGACACCTTTAGCTGGGTTCTACGTGATGCCAGATATAGTCGACGTAAAACAGAAGTCCCTAAATTCCAATGAAGAGGAGAGAATACTCGTCGAGTCTTTAAGGAACCTGTTTTCATTTGGAAGTCAAGATCAACAAGAAATATATTTATCAGCTGATGCAGGCTTTGGAAAAACTGCTTTCTCAAAATATCTTGCAGTCACGTGGTGTCAAGCTCATTGCCACGATGAAAACTACGCCTGCTTTAAAAAGGACGAGTTAAAAACGTTATTAGACTTTAAGTTCTTATTTTTGATTTTCTTAAGAGACAGTCCCTCTGTTTGTAAAATTGACGATATGATTGAACAGCAAATTACGAAGAAACTTCCTACTTCTGCAATACTAGATGAAGTTTTACGTAGAGAAAAATGCTTGATTATATTGGACGGTCTTGATGAATGGACTCATCCTGATAATAACTGCAGCGAAGAAACAGAAAAAATCCCACATCGATACGTACGTGACAATTGTGTGATCCTAACGACAACTCGACCGTGGAAGCTTGGAGTTTCAAATCTCAAAACAAGTCAAATAAACAAAAAAGTAGAATTGGTTCAATTAAGTGCAGATTCTACCCGGCAACTTGAAGAAAAAATGCTATAAGAAAAATGACTGGTGTCCGTGACGATAGAGTACTGAAGAGTAAAAGACAGGTCTTTGATAAAGTGATACGTGACCGTCGCCTAGAGCACATACAAGGGATTCCGCTCCTTCTCATGTATATAGTTTGCCTATGGTGTAACAACATTCCTATAGGAAATTCAAAACATAAAATTTACACCAATATCATTGAATTCCTATTATCAAGAACGTCAAAGAAACACCCGGATGTTCAACCATCTCGTGAATCGTCTGCCAGTGAAATTCCAGAGTACTTCAAAAATCATGAATTTTGTAAAAGGTTTTACAGTCTTATAACATCATTAACGGAACTGGCTTACCAAACATTATGTAACGAAACAAGGGAAAACATGTTGGTATTTGATAGAACGGTTGCTGATATATATCTCAAAGCAGACGACATGAAATTAAGTCTTCTCTCAGGAATACTGTCAGAAAGTAGCAGTAAAAATTTAATCGAAGAACTTATCAAAGTATCTTTTTCTCACAAAACTGTGCAAGAATTCTTTGCCACCATATATATTACTTCTCACAGTGTTCTAGAAAATTGTAGAAATGTTCAAGATATTTTGGACATGTCAAAGATTTGTGAATTTATGAGTGGAATGAATGCTGCCTGGATGTGTGAAATATCAAATGATTTGATGTCTGTGATAAATGAAGACGAGAAAACACGCGACTATAGAACTATGACAGGTAACGAGGGCTTGTACAATAATCCATTGTATAACATACAGGAAATGTTCATGTCCTGTTTGCAAGAAATGCCTGAAAGTGAAAATATTCACTTATGTTTACAAGATTTCTTCATTGACCGGCACACCGAGCACAGTGAGCAGTTACAACGTTTGTTGAAACAAAATAAAACAAACATAAAATCACTGTATATAAACACCAGACGTACTTCCAGCAGTTTACATGAAATTATAGATTTATTCTCTCTCACAGATCTCAGTCATGTACAAAAACTTTATTATAATGGTGACTGGGTGAAGGAAGATGTTGAGATAAACCGGATATTGTTTCCCAGTTTACAGGCCGTAACTTTGCGGTGTGGTAAATGGACAAATTATGAAAAGAATCTGAGTGAAAATTTAGCGCGATTACAAAACTTACAATATTTATATATTGAATACTTCACGTTATCTAACAAAATACTGGAAAAAATTTTCAATTTTATCTCCGGTCAAAATTCAATGAAAGAGTTATCATTGGTGAGATTAGAGTGTGATGAATATGGCTACGCTGACTGTGAGAGAAGGAACTTGGACTTGTCTCAACATTCAACTCTATCAACGTTAGACTTGCAGGGGCTACCTGGGAGGCTACAATTAAATATATCAACACCGTCATTAGTTAATGTTACGTCGTGGGACATCAATCTAGATGAAAGTTCATTATTACTGTCACGTGACATGTTAAATATTGAATGTGTGAGGTTAGGGCATATAGAAATGTCTGCAGAAAGTTTACAGAACTTTATTACCGTGCTTGAAAATCTGCCGCAGTCTGTTACAGTACAGATGGAAACCATTAAACCGGAAACAGAATATGACCGTGTTAGAGAAAATATTCGAAGTTCACAAACTTTTCATGTGATACAAGACTGCCAGTGGCTGGGGTTTGAGATCAAAACAAGAAAACCAAGTAAAGAATAAACAAAGGAAAAACATTGTAAAATAAACTGATGAAATAACTTCAATGTATTTAAATGAAAACAATTTAAAAATGGACACTTAAAAAACAAAATGACGGTTTCTTCTATGTTATACATGTACTGTATAGTTTGGTCATTTAATTCACAAACATTTAAGTTTAAAGTTTAATTAAGTGACAGTTGTTTATAAATAAATAAATAAAAACATTTTAAGAGGAGAAATAATTCAAGGACATTTTTTACCGGAACTTAATGGATAACTTGGAATAAGGATTTGGAAATATTTTACAGGTAAGAGATTTTATATTGAATTTTTTTTATATATATTATTTCATTTTACACAACCTAAGTATTGAAATAGATTTTTCTAATTGAATTATAAGATTTTATTTAAATTCAAAAAAATAAACTTTATATAATAAAAAATTCCAGTACCACATCAAATATTTTCAAAGTCCATTGACATATGGCTTTGTTACTTTGCACATTTATTCACCATCTGTAGACAGAAGGAGGTAACTCTTTCAAGCATTTTGACAGAATAATGCTCCTTTTTAGCTCGACTGTTTTGAAAAAAGTAGAGGTATTGTTATAGTCGAGGCGGCGTTGTAGTTGCCGTCCGCAAACTTGTACGAGTACATGGATCATAACTTTTTTATTTCTTGGTGTATTGTCTTCATACTTGGCCACAACACCCCTTGGGACAAGACCTTATAGTAGACCACACTAACCTTGACCTTAATCCATGGTTAACGCTATAGCCAAATATAATAACACAGTAAGTACGAGAACAAACAAAAATATTTTATTCTGAAATGAATTTGCGCATACGGCTGCTACGACTTCATACTTTAACCAGCATTACAATTTCTTTCAGGAATATGTTTAATTTGTTAGATCATTCGTGAGAAAGACAACCTGATTACCGTTTTGAAGGTGACTTTTGTGTTTCGTCAAATAAATATGTGCATATAACACATTTAAAATATTATTTTTTCGTATTCTGTATTCCTAGAACATTTGTCAAACTAACAGTGTCGTATAACAATAGATGGAAGCTGGTAAAATAGGATTTAACTACTTTTAGTGAGATAACCGCCGTTACTTTAGTGCTCCATTCACGAATTTGGCGTTACTTCGTAAAAATGGTCTCAATTTCGTTTTTCGTGCAAAATTAAGGGTAATAATTATGATTCAAGTAGATTGGAAAATGTCTCAGGTACACCGGAAGTAATATGTACGTTATTGTATTTTAAGATATCGACGAAACTAAAAATAGCCATCAATACGCTAGTCGGGTCGTCATTTTCACGAATGATCTTGAAAAATAAACATTTTCATGAAAATATTTTTGCTGAGGTTTAAAGTATAATGTCCCAGCAACCGTATGCGCTAACAAATTTCTTTTAATTTGATGTACAATAAAAATATTGGTCCATTTACTAATTGCGGTGCTCGTTTTAGCCACTAAATTGCACAATTCTGCGTTACTTTTGCACAATTTCTATGTTATTTGCACATTCCTGCGTTACTGGATATACACGGTGCTAAAGTGTAACGTTAATATTAGCGCGCTTTTATGCTATGTTTATATATAGCGCAAATGACGTCACGTCAAAGTGTTATTACACTTGTGTAATATCCTTTTTTATATAAAAAGGCTTTATTGCACTTCTGTGCCGCTTTTTACGTGATAATTTATTTTATAATCAGTCGCAAATCACAAATTCTATATGATGTGTTTGCAGTTTTTATTTGGATAACAATATTTTTTTCATTTGCAATACAAGAGGTCAGTGTATCTACTTAAATATTCTCTGGTCCGGTTCCTTAACTCTAAGCCTCCTGACGGTAACATATTCTATACCCATGTGACCAATGCAGACCACGATCAGCCGGCATATACATGAATATCTTAAAATGTTGCCGTAATATGGTGAATGGTTCCGTCCAGACTGAGTGACTGACAAGTCTATTAAAGTCATTTGGATTGGTTAGCTTTAAAATTGACAGGAAGCTAGAAATGTGTCCATAGGACACGAATGCCCCTACACTCCGCTGTTTTGTAAATCTTATGACTCTATGTCAAATATTTGTTTGGTTTCATGTGCCACAAGTTGAAAACTAAAAATCTTTTACTAAGTAAAGGGAAAGAACTTTACAAATACTGAATATATCCACAAGCGAATCCCAAGGTGCATAAATACACATGCTGACCAACATTCTTGTAAACTTTCAGGCCTACAGGTCAAATACTTTTTGAGCTATGCATGAACAAGTTGAAAATTGCAAATTTATAATAAGTCAAGGGCAATAACTCTAACAAAGCTGAAAAAAGTCAACATGCAAAAATCCCAGGTACATTGCTTCAAACTCATGTTGAACATTATTGCTGTAAAGTTGATTGATTCTAACTCAGCCTTTCAAGGAACAAATAACACAACATAATGAAACGGTTTTTACTAAGTCAAAGGCAATAACTCTACAAATACTGGATAAATCCACAAACAAAATCCAAGGTACACAACTACATATGCTGATCAACATTTCTGTAAAGTTTCATGACCCTATGTCAAATACTTTCCGAGCTTCATGTGACACAAGTTGAAAATTGCAAATTTTTACTAAGTCAGGGGCAATAACTCTAAGATGCTAAATATATACACACGAAAATACCCAGGTGCATAACTTCACATGCTGATCAACATTCCTGTAAGGTTTCATGACTCTCGGTCAAATACTTTTTGAGCTACGTGCGACAAAAATGAGAACGGACAAACGGACAAGGGTAAATCTAAATCCCCCCCCCTTAAAGTGGGGGCATAAAATTCAGGTTATTCAAAACACATAACATATTAATATACAGTTAGAATAGGGAAATCTTACTACAGTCATGATCTTATAATTATGACTTCTTGCTTTCCTGTATTTCAGAATATCAGCTAAAATAAACCTACAATGAGGACAAATGCAACTGTTTGGCTTTAAATTTTATTCATCAAACTCCAGATGATTATCAGTGGGATGTTCTGAATGACAAAAGATCTTACAGCTCTTCCATAGTTCGATACATGTATAATGATTTCACACCTGATACCTGGCTGTATTGGGACAGACGTGGATTAAATTTGTGATTAACAGCAGCAAAAAAATCCCCATACCATAATTACTTGCAATTGCATCGAATTACATTCTGGTTCCTGGCTAAATGGAAACATAATAGAAAAAGTTTGCATCACAAAGATATCTGGTATCTGTTTTGTACAATTAGAATTTGAATATCAAAGAACAATTGCACCAAGACCACTGTCAAATATTTCAGTATTCCTTTGAATAAACTTTTATGTTACAAAGATCATTGAAATAATTTCATTTATTTAGATATACAGTACATGTATAAATCTTTTTCTGCAATTTAAGAATAACAAGAATTGTTAAATATTTTTTTAGTAAAGGCCTATTACGCTTTAGAAATTTTATCAGTTTTATTTTATTTTTCCAAACTTTTTATTTTAGTTCTTGTGTTACAGTTTCCAAAAATTAAACCTTTTGCCATATACGTAATTTCTCTAATGCTGAGTTTGTTATGTTGGGAATTGCTATAATTAAAGTGAATTAATATTAGTATGGAAGTCAAAATACTACTTTGTTTACAATTTGCTACCTTTTAATAACACATTTCTACAGGTTCAGTGCTATTTTCACTTGTTAAACATCTAATATGGTCTTGAACCATAATATCAAAACATTATTTAACAAATGCTTCACTTTTCTAGAGAATATTTATTTTCTGAGGCAAAATGTGCCTTGTTAAGAATAGCGTAGTGTTTGTTAATTAACATTAAGGGAAATTTCGTCGCTCTGGCCTGGCACAGCCCAGTGACAGATTTAGTATCGACAAATTTAGTATCGGTCTAAAGACTGTAGCTGTTGTCAGAATAAGGAAACTACATTTGTCTGGTGCGACACATTCTTGCAACTAATTTAATGGAATGCTGACTTAATAAACACTAACCTATTTAATGGTTGCCATTATGTTTTAAATCTTTACTCAGAGCAAGTATGACATGCTGAGTTAAATGGATAATACTTAAAGTAACAAATGTGTTGATAAAATAAACTAAAATTTAAATTGTACCACTAAATTTGAAACAAAAAATTATTAACAAAATCTTATAAAACAATATATAATTTGAACCACTTATTCTAGTATTATATGTATTATAAGTTTTGTAAACATGTAAACAGTTATTGAAGTGTGTATGATATTTACAGAAATAATTTTCAGCAATTTCGCTCTTATAAGTCCCCTACGGGTTTACCGGAGATTACTTTAGGTTTACCCTCCGTCCGTCTGTCTGTCCGAGCTATTTAAGAGAAGAAGGGGCCATGTAACTGTAAACAGAACAAAAGAGAACAATAGAGTTCATTCTGTAACAAAAGAATAAGGGGCCATTGCCCTTTATTAAACAAAAGAAAATAACAAAAGAAATGGCCCCTTAGTCCATTTAAGTGGCACATCCGTCTGTCAGTCCGTCATTCCGTCCGTCCACAAAACTGGATCCCGCGATAACGCAAAAAGTACTAAAAATATTTTTATGAAACTTGATATATGGATAGATGGCAGTATGGAGATTATCCACGTCTTTTTCTTTTCTACCTATGTTGAAATTTCTGGTTGCTATGGCAACAAATAGACTAAAAATATGGCAAATTTTACACATAAACTGGATCCAGTGATAACGCAAAAGTACTGGAAATATTTGAATAAAACTTGAAATATGGGTAGATGGCGGTCTGGAGATTATGCATGTCTTTTTCTTTTCTGCCTATATTGAAAATTCTGGTAGCTATCACTAAAAAAACAATAGACTGAAAATATGGCAAATTTAACACATAAATTGGATCAAGTGATAATTAAAAAAAGTATTGAATATATTTTTATGAAACTTGAAATATGGGTAGATTGCAGACTGGAGATTATGCATGTCTTTTTTCTTTTTTTCTAATTTTGACAAAAATGGTTGCCATGGCAACAAATAGTCTTAAAACATGGCAAATATAACAATATTTGTGATTAGTCAAAAAGAGCTTAAAATTTTTATGAAACTTAAAATATGTATAATTTGCAGTATGGAAATTATACACATCATTTTAATCTTGACTATAGGGAGCATATTGAGAGCTGTCTTTCTTGCCAAACGTCGGCAACCTCGACAAGATTTCTGATTCTAGTTTTTAGGCTGTTTCACTATAAGTTCTTTATTTCTTAATGTATTCACTTC